CATCTTTTCCATTATAATGAAATTATTAATTTATTAATAAATATAAAAATAAAGTTAAAAAAAAAGATTTGAGGAAATGGCCCCGCCGTGCTGCGCACGAGTACCATACTAGTTATAACTAATATAGGATGAGTAAATTGTAAAAGGACATATTATAATAAATTTAAATAATAATTCATTTTTTATAAAAATATCTAAAACTTTTAAAAAATAATTTCATTATGACAACACTCAGCCCAAGCTAGACATGACCAAAACTCGGGCCCGGTCGCCAGGCTCGAAAACAATGACTCGGACCTGGCACGGTCTTATACTCGTGTTGAGTCAATAGCCCGGTTGATCGGACTGTCTATCATTTTAAGAAAAAAACAATAGAAAAAAATAGAAAAAATGGATCATCAACTCAGGCTTGGGCTGAACCATGAGATGGATAACCCCGACACGACCATTCGAAAATCTGGTTCGGTCCTAGACCCGTGGTCAACGGGTTTGACTGAGCTGAGTCCGGACCGAGTCGACGGGCCGGGCGGCCCTTGACCACGTCTACCCCAAGTTATATCTCCGGATAGCCGGGTTTCGGGTTGACCCACTGAGCCGACCCGAGCTTTGTAAACTCTGAATATTCTTAGCGACACATACAAAAGTGGGTTTATCATGTGGTTTAGGTTTTTTCTCTCTCGAGCCCTGACTTTCTCTCTCATCGTCGCGTTTCTTGTGGGGAAGGAGCTGAGATTTCAGCCGCACACCGTCTCAGAGTGACAGGTGCTCGAATCCCCAGCTCCGACTGACTTATAATCTATTCAGTTGTGTGTGTTATTCGTTGAATGATGCTTGTTAGTTGTGTAATTATCTGTTCGCAGTTCGTCTGGATTCTTCTCTCATCTTCCTTGGTTCCTGGCGGGATTCGAGGCAGAGTTGAATACATTTGATCTAGTTGTTGTTTTCTACTGTGTTTTGGTTGATGGCGTTTCAGTTGTCGGAGTTGATTTCCGTGTAATTCGTGTTTTTTGGGTAGAGAACACGGTTAGTAGGGTTTAGGATTTGGAACTTGTATTGATGTTTTTTCTGTCATCGTCACCTTTCTAATGGGAAAGGAGCTGTGATTTCAGCTGTATCTCTTCACAGGTGCTAGAGACCATAGCTCAGAGTGGTACTTGGTTCTGTGTGTTATTTGTAGAATGATATTTGTTGGTGCTGTAATTATCTTGATTGCAGTTTGTCTGGATTTCGCTTTCATTTTCTTTGGTTCTCGGTGGGTTTTGAGGCAAACTTTGACTCATTTGATGCAGCTATTGTCTTTCATGAGTTTTAGTTGACGATGTTTTCAGTTTTTGAGATCGTTTCTGTGCAGTTCTGGAATTGGGTAAAGAACATGTTTAGTAGGGGTTTAGAGTTTGGAACTTGTATGGATATTATCGGGAATTTGCTTTGATTTCTTGTGCATGTGA